CATCTGTGCTGTGCTGTATCCTGGAGAGGCAATAAACTTCCTCAATCCCCCCGGCTGGTGCAGTCTGTTTGTGCCATTTCGGGGTGCAGGAGACGGGGGGACCCCAACGCGCCGTCACAGCCACAGACCCCAAAGAATTATGGAAGCCACCGTCGGCAATGGAAGGGGGAATGTGAACACTGGTCCCCCTCCCCCCCCGGAACAATTCCTTACAGTGACTTAGACAGAAAATAAAACTGAGATTATTCAGTACAAGCAGTGGGACTGAAGTGGTGGCACGTTACTGGATTTTAAGGGGAGCAGCCAGGTCACTGCTGCACCCCTGGGGGGGGGGTTGCCCCAATAGTGGTACAAAGGGGCCGTTCGAGGTGTCAAGTGAAAGCGTATCTTATGCAGAGTCTACATGTGCGATGCGTGTGATTGTGGAAGGCCTGTGTGTGACGTTAGAAGCATGGACTTCGTGTGGATACTGAATGTTTCTCTGTGTGCGGTTGAGCAATGGGCAGAGCTCGGCCTATGGACATGCTAATGAGCAAGTCTCAGTGGAACAATAGACCTCTATAGGCCAAGGACACCCCTCAAGAATGGGGGCTGATACCTGGGGGCTACCAGCAGGGAACGCAGGGACAGGCCGCTGGCCAGGTGACCTGCTGCAGCCAAGAAGAGACCAGGAAGGAGGGATAAAGAGGCCATGTGGCTGACTCCATTTTGTTTTCAGATCTGCTCCTGACTCCAGATGTAGCCTCACAGGGAATCAGGAGCCAGGAAAAACTGTGGATCCATCCTGATGCTAGGATGTGCAACAAGGACTTTTAAACCAGCAGCTGCAACATCTCTGCTAGAGCCTGCATCGAGAACTGGGAGATTCGGTGCATGTAACGTACTATCCTTTAGCAACCTCACTCTCAGGCTTTTCGTTCTTTGAGTAATAAACCTTTAGTTGTTAGATGCTAAAGGATTGGCTCAGCGTGATTTGTGGGTAAGGTCCAGAGGGTAAATTGACCAGGGAACTGTGGCTGGTTTCTTGGAACCGGACAGAACTTGTTCGGGGTAGGTGGGATTGGGTGCTAGGACCCCCCCACCTGTGTATAGGCCCCGGGGCGTTGGAGGAGTTTGCTCACGAGGCTTCAGGCTGGTCAGGCAGGCAGCTGAAGGCTCTGTGGGACTCGTTTGTAGCCTATTTGAGAAGGTCTCCAGTCTGGGGGCTGTAAGGAGCCCCAAATTTAAGCAATTTGCCCTGAGGAGACGCCCTCAGCTGCGCCAGACCCGGCCCGGCCCGTCACAAGTGGTAAGAAGCAGGAACGGGCAGAGCAAAGTAGGCTACAAATCAAGACTTGGCTAATTCGACACGGAGACCCCAGCACAAACTCTTCTCACACACCCTAAAACCTCTTTTCCAGCTGCCCCCCAACCAGGGCTGTCTCCCCACCCTGGGATCTTCGGCTGCTTCCATCAGGGGCAGCCCAGCCAACAGCCCCAGGCCTCTCTTCCCTGTTCTTTTGGTTAAAGAATTGAGGCCTCTCCCTACAATCACCGCTAGGACAGAAGGAC